GTAGCAAATTGCTGATCCTGAGATGGACGTTGTAGGTGGGAAGTGCAGGATGTTTTATTTATGGGGGTTCAGGTGTGATGTAAGGCCACAGCAAGTAAATTTTATGGATGACATCCTCCACAGACTCCAAATATAATGCAAAAAACAAGGCAAGCCGAAAAAACAAGGTTCCTACATTTTAAAAATTTGACTGAATCATAGTACAAATGGTTTTGATTCAGTAGGAACATCACATATACACAGCCAGCATCACATATCACTGCATCAAAGTAAGAAACAAAACATCAAATCAGAGCCTTGCCCTTTTCTTGTTTCCTCTCTTCATAGTTATCTGACATCCACCTTCAGGCATGTTGACCACTGTCAGACAAAGGGAACATAATTTTTTTTTCCAAAATCAGGCGAAAATTAATGCGCAAACTGATGTCATCCATCAAAATACTTTGGCATTAGCGGTAGTTCAGACATGATGGGGGGATGTGCAGGGAGTTTACAATGGTTTGAGTGCTGTGTAGATCGCAAATTTGTAGTCAATAAGCCACTGCTTAAAAAAACACATAAAAAACATGAAAACAAAGCCTGAGGACCAGAACAAGCTGCTAGAACTTAGTAGAAGGTCCAAAATTTAATCATGTTGAGGTCTTATCAAGACCTACCCACCTACCAAATAGGAAGACAATCCATGTAAGCTCTCTGGAGTTACATGTATCATGTTTACAGACACACACAAATACTGTACAGACAACATAAACTTCTACTAGTTCTAGGCGAAGGTACATGTAATAATGATTAATTTTCCGGTAAAATCATTGTCCTGGAAATTGCATCCTCTCTCTATCATATTTCTGATCACCATCAGCCTGACAATAACGACCACGGAACAAGCGGCGGCCATATTGATTTTCTACGGTGAGGAATATGGTCGCCGTGACCTTGACAATCAATAACCTTGAAAAATTAAACTCCAGCAGCTTTGGGGGGTTTTATTACGTATCAGTGTCGGATTTACTGAGCTGTGTTTACATGATGAATGGAACAGCTGTGTGGGATTGATAGTCGCATTATCTTTGTAATTATCAAGGATAAGACCACAACAATTCTATTTGTTGGTTCCCAGATTCAATATAGTTATTATATAAGTAGTAAATGGTTTATTGGTAAAAAAAATATCGGCCTTGCAGTATACACTGAATTGCGCCGAATTTTACATTCCACATAGTTATTTTACTCAGTAAAACTAACACTGTAGGCTAATATAGTACACATACAAGTATATACAAGTAACGTACAATAATTGTCGACATTATTGTCCAAAATTTGTGTCAGAAAAGATATCCTCTGTAACAGGCAAAATTCTGATGCAACGTTGATCAAACATCCAACGAAAATCGGGATTTTGCGCAGGCACAGTACATTCTGACAACACATGCTGTTTGCTTCATCAATGACTGAAATTGAATCCTAGGATCAGTCACTGATGAAAAAGAATGAATGCTGTCTGAAACTCTTTAGAGAATTTATTCAGTTGCTTGATTTATCTACTATAACTTTCATAGATTTCATAGCAGAAAATACCCACCTGCAACCAGTAATTTGCTGGAAAAAGTTATGATCTAAAAAGAAGGATACATATAATGATTAGTTTGCCTACTAATTAATTTTTTGTTATGTGATTGATGACCTGTATCTATAGCCCTCTGAGGCATGGATGTACAATAAAGGTCTTTCATCATTAATATCATAACCATTAATAAATACTGAAGGAATATTCAGATTCCAGACATTACCTATGTCATCAAGTTCAGACCCAGTGGTAAGCTAGCGACATTAGAGCGGGCGAATACTACGGGGGATGGCAAACAGGCTAAGTATACAGGATGTCAAATAAAATCCTGTGTGTATGCGTATATCCATGTGTATGTGCGTGGATAGCGTTCAGCACCAAGGACAGGTATGCTAGTGTGTGTGTTTGTGTGTGTGTGTGTGTGGATAGTATTCAGCACCAAGGACAGGTGTGTGTGTGTGTGTGTGTGCTAGTGTGTGTGTGTGTGTGTATGTGAGTGTGTGTGGATAGTATACCAGTGGTAAGCTAGCGACACTATGGAGCGGGCAAATACTACGGGGGATGGCATCCAGGCTAGGTTCAATCAGACATGTACAGCCAACCAATCAAATTGTGGTGTAAATGTAATTTGGACTTCCTTGATAATCGGATTACTACTGTACAATGTACATGTATGTCTTCTAACTTCAATAGCTCAATAAATTGGGATGACTGTAATCTTCATGTCTCCACATGTCTGCTGCAACTTTAAATCATATATGGAACATCAAAATTATTATGGTGCATTGAAATATTCATCATTTTTATGGAGTGAAGACAGTCATATTCAGTTGTTGTTGCCATGTACATTTATGATGTCTGGTTGCGGTTTTTTCACCTTAAAAGGTCGGAGAATTAAGGAAATAAAAGTATTGTGGCCTAGAAATGCTTCAGATTAGACATTCAGAGGGAGTTTTCTTCCTTTCCCTCTTCATTTATGATGCTCACTCGCCATATTTTCAACTTAAAAATGTCTCAGTAGCGAGGAATTTAACAGATGTGGCCTAGAAATGGCTTTAGATATTTTACACAGCCAGCATCACACATCACTGCATCAAAGTAAGAAATAAAACATTAAATCAGAGCCTTTTCTTGTCTCCTCTCTTCATAGTTATCTGCAATCCACCTTCTGGCATGGCAACAGACATCTTTGCCCATTTTCGGCATATTGACCACTGTCAGAAGACAACAAAATTTCTTCTTTTTTTTCTCCAAAATCAGGCGAAAATTAATGCGTGCGCTGATGTCAGCCATAAAAATTACTTGCCGTGGCCTTATGATGTATGCTTGACTGCATTTTTCAGCTTAAAATGTCTCAGAACCAAGGACATATATTAGTGTGGCCTACAGGAAGGTTTTACAATAGGGAATAGATTGGTGTCAGCTCGGAGGGCAGATTGTAATCAACCTGTTCTCCCCACGGCCTGCCAAGGGTGGGATTAGTATTCTCAGCAGCTGCTGGTATAATCTGCCTGGACTAGATGTACAGTAGCCTGCACCAGGCCTTTCTAACGGATCGTAGAATTTGGCAAAAGAGAGTAAAATTGGCCAGGGGAGTCCGCGGGGAGGTAGTTTCTTTCCCTCCGAAGTGAAACCTACAAGGTGGCCAAACTCCCCTGGCAAATATTCTCCTATATATACTATATAGCCAGCGTAGTTAGTCTGGTAGAGACTAGATGTACAGGGATTTAGAAGGTCTTTGTGAAATCAGTTCAGATTTTAGGCAGTATTTCGTGCTGACAGATTTTCACAGAATACGTAGACACAAGGTTAGATGAAAAGTAAGCATTACACAGTCTTGTACATGCTTTAAGAACCTTTAAATGTAACTGACATATTATAGTTAATATACACACAAACACTGTGACAAACTCTCACCTACGGTATACTTGCATCTCTACACATACACATACACAATACACATACACATACACATACACATATGCACACTCACACATACCATGTATGCACACACATTCACACATACACACACACATACATGTAGATACACACACATGCACACAAACACACATACTATTATAGTTTCTTTATCTTACTTACAGATAATATATGTCCTGTCTGTGTTTGTAACTGATGTCTGTTTCTTTCCTCTGTGTTTGTTTGTTTGTGTGTTTGTTTGTGTGTTCTGTTTTGTTCCTGAAGTCAACGCCGTCGAAGGCCCCCTCCGCTTTTTATCCCAAAGCCGCGCCCGACGTGAGAACACTTCTTATCAGTCCCAAATACTATCATGAAAGTTCATTTGTGTTGGTAGTTACATGTTTAAAGTTAAAACTTTTGGTCCAACACAAAATATTCTCTCACCTAGACTCTAGAGCTTTCGACTAGTCACTCTGGTCTTCCTCAGTAGACTGACCCAGTGGGGTTGACATTGTCTACCTTTGACCCGGTGTTGACGTATGCGTCACACTTCAAAGAAGCCACGTGACAAGCTTCACTGGGTTAGTCTATTGAGGCGGACCAGAGTGACTGGTCGAAAGCTCTAGGTGAGAGAATTTTTTGTGTTGGACCAGAACTTTTAACTTTAAACAAGTCCCAAATACTGATAGGATTACATTCATGTGTTCTATACATACATTTAGTGCTGTGTACCTAAACCCACATTTAGGTTCAGGTCCGGATTCAAGTCCAGAGGTTTAGGTTCAGTTCCGGACTCGTAAGTCCAGACCTGAACCCATGGCATATACAAAATTGCATGTTGGCAACCTTGCAATGTTGTCTGGGCAAAACGTTGGCCACATAACATGGAGGCTGACACTTGACGATGCCCGATGGCAATGTTTTCTTCATTTTGCAGCACAGATTTGGCAATCTATGCATGAAAGGTTTTAGGTGGTTTGGAAAGAAAAGGGGTATGTGACATGGTTTATTTTTTTTTTGTAATAAGCCCGGAATCGGTACTTGACTTTTAGGTTTTTTTTTACTTGAACCTAAACATTTTTACAACTATATTTGCTACAGTGAAGGAAACATCAAGTGGGATGAGATGATACAGTGAGGGTTTTTGCTACAGGGAGTGTAACAAATTGTTGTAACTTAAATTTTATATTTGCTACAGTGACTGTAACAAATTTGTAACATTGTTGCCCTGTATTTGCTACAGTGAAGTAAACATCAAATGAGATGAGATGATACAGTGAGGGTTTTTGCTACAGGGAGTGTAACAAATTGTTGTAACTTTATATTTGCTACAGTGAAGGAAACATCAAGTGGGTTGAGATGATACAGTGAGGGTTTTTGCTACAGGGAGTGTAACAAATTGTTGTAACTTTATATTTGCTACAGTGAAGGAAACATCAAATGAGATGAGATGATACAGTGAGGGTTTTTGCTACAGGGAGTGTAACAGATTGTTGTAACTTTATGTTTGCTACAGTGAAGGAAACATCAAGTGGGATGAGATGAACATCCTTGCGACCTATCACCCCCCAGACAAGGACTACGGTCACATGAAGGTCGAGGAGCCCAAGACCCCCTACAACTACATGGACGAAGAGGACGGGCCTGATTTGGACCCGGATGCACTCACTCAGAAGTAGGTTCAGGAGATGGGGGGCCTTGTAGCCGCCATAGAACTGGGGGTTTGGTGGTCTTCGGCTGTTTTCTGATTGAAACAGGGGTAATTCAACCAGGCCAGTTATATTGTCTATATGCAATCAGAAAATAGCACATAAAAGATTCCAAATACCCTGAAGACCCCCAAACCCCCACTTTTTGGCATGCTGTGGAGGCTAGGGCCTTGCACATTGGACAATGGATTTCTTGCTGTAGGAGATAAATTAACCTTCTTCCTGCTACCAAAACTCTGTATTGGCTGAAAACAACTTGGTGTAAAATACCTTTTTTTAGTAGGGAAAAGATTAAATGATTCCATCCACATGCTCACATTTTTGTATGTATTCGGTAGTAAAATTTGAATTGTGCTGCTACAGAACACTTTTCTGCTGCTACATGACACTTTTCTAAAGAAAAGGCAAAGAAACTTTAGTGTAACGTGCAGGTAAAATTTGTCTGTTGCGGGGAATTTTGACTGTCGCCTGCACCAGTGCAAGTACAGGTATGCAGAAAAAAGGATTTTGAGCCAAACAACTTGATGAAGTTGCTAACTGATTTTTTCCTTCATTCATTTTTCTGCTCAGAATGATGGAAGGAAAGAAGCCTAAGGTGGTGGCGAGACTGGAGGAGGCAGAAGAGGAGGAAGAAGAGAGTGAAGAAGAGGAGGAAAATCTTACTGAAGAGGACAAAGGTCAGACAAAAATCAGCCTAGTATAGTTCCCTTGTATGTTCCTTATGTATGTATGTCTAAGTCAAGTAATGTGTCTTTTGTCTCCAATTTTCTAAATACGTCTGTAATGTGTATTTTAAGTCTTGACCTGTATCTAGCCCATCGTGGCATGAATGTACAATAAAGGTATTTCATTATTGTTATTATTATTATTATTGAAAAGAGCAGGGGTCCTTCCTTTTGTGAGTAGATCAAACCTTGTTGATCCAGTGGTTGACAACTTGAAAAGGTGCTAGCTATAGTAGCAGTGAGGGACGTCCAGTCTTTGATGTCAATCCACCTACAAGTGTGTTAAAACTGAAAGACAATTTCATTATAGTAAAAATTTCTCACGTCTTTTTTTTTCCTGTCCAGCTAAGAGAGACGACTTTGAGGCGAAAAGAAAACAACATTACAACGAGTTCTACGCCGTGCAGCTCGCCAGAAAACTGATGGAGGAGGACGAAGAGGAAGAGGGAGAAACAACCGAAGAAGAATCGTCAAAGTCAGAAGAATGCCCCATGGAGTCGGAATCTCAGCACACAGAGGAAGAAAGAATGGATTTGGCGGATAATTCTAGAGGCTCCGTCGTAGAGCAAGGTTCTAATCACTCGGCTTTGGCCCCCAAAGACGATGAAAATGTAGAAATTCTAGTATAGTGAGACTACAGGAAAGTTTATATACTCATGTAGTGTATTTTCATTACATAATAGTATTAATACGACTATTTGTAAGATAGTTATTTAATGTTGAATGTGTTAAGATAAAGCCGCTGCTTTGAAAAGTACTTAATTTCTGTTCTTGGAAAGTTTGTGCTTTTTCTTGTATCAGGAAAGACTGATTGAAGGCTTCCAAGTTTTTTTTGTATCATCATTTTGTTTATGTGTAAACAAATTCAAGATTTCCAAGTGTGGTGGACTTAAAACTATATTGTGGGGAGTTGGAAAATTTATTTGTATTATTTGGGACAAGAACTTTGTTGATATACTGGTAAATGTTGTTTTTGCACCTTATGGCATTGCGATGAACACAAGAAAAGTTAGAACCTGCCAAAATTGTTGCGCAAACTTCTCAAAAAACCTTGTTGGAACTTAACTGTTAGTTACATATTAGTGAATATAGCTTTTGCATTGTGAGTACATTATGTTGTGTGAATATGCCTGAACTCAGACCTCGAGTATTACTATTATTGAATATAAGTTATGCAATAGCTATGTTACAGTACCTGTATATTGATTTGTATACAACTTAATGCAAATTAGTTACAAAGGTGTTCTAATATTGCTTTTAAGTCATTTGTACTTAAATTTCTTGATGGTACAATGAAATTTCAACACATACACGTACTCAGTCTCTACTGCGTATATAGTCTACAAGTGATGCTACCAAAGTTAAACTACATGTACATTTTGACAATGAGAAGTTTTTGGCAGTTTAAAATTAGATTGTTTGACAAAGGAGTTTCATTAAAATCTTAGCTTTGTTTTAGAGCAGTCTATGAAAAGAAACTATAGTAGAAAAGTTGTATATATCAAAGTAAGTGTTTGAAATAAAAACATTCACTTTAACCCATCTGGAACTCAAGTGTATGTATAGAGTAATCCCAAACCAAGAGTACAATAATTATTGTACAATAGCAAAACCCCTACTCCAGTAGCCTCCGTAGCAGGCTTATAGACCCGGGGGTTTGGTGGTCTTCGGCTGTTTTCTGAGTAGCCCAGTTCTAAAAACGGGGGTAATTCAACCAGGCTATGTTGGCTATGTTGTCTATATGCAATCAGAAAATAGCACATAAAAGCTCCCAAAGACCCTGAAGACACCCAAAACCCCCAGTTTTTGGCATGCTATGGAGGCTAAGCAAAACCCCTACTCCAGAGTATGACTTAAACTAGGCAGATCCCTACTCTAAAAAAAGCTGCCAAAAAATGAAGTGTAATGTTTTACTCTAAGTCAAAAAAGCTCCCAAACATTTGTTAAACTTAATGCCAAAAAACGAAGCTTTCATACCCTGTTGTCAAAATCGTATCAATGTCAAAATGTAGAAAATGGAAGATGTAAAAAAAGTGTCATGGTTATGTGTTTATTGTACTATAAATGTTACAGGTTTTGGTGGTGTGTGGTTGTGTGTATACTTCTCCTAAGGCCACAGCAAGTAAATTTTATGGATGACATCCGCAGACTCCAAATCTAATGCGAGCGGGCAAAAAAAAACAAGGCGGACCCTAAAAAAAACAAGGTTCTTACATTTTAAAATTTTGACTCAATCATTGTACAAATGGTTTTGATTCAGTTGGAACATCACATATACACAGCCAGCATCACATATCGCTGCATCAAAGTAAAAAACAAAACATTGAATCAGAGTCTTTTCTTGTCTCCTGTCTTCATAGTTATCTGCCATCCACGTTCCGGCATGGCAACAGACATCTTTGCCCATTTTCAGCATGTTGACCACTGTCAGAAGGCAACAAAATTTTTTTCCCAAAATCAGGCGAAAATTAATGCGCGCGCTGATGTCATCCATAACAATTACTTGCTGTGGCCTAACAGTGAAATAGAGGCAATATTAAGACCAGACACTACAAACAAAAATTTCACAACAAACCTAGGACTGAACTTGAAGTCTGTACTATTTGTAGAATGGCAGAAAACCTCTGGCTTTTTAAATATATTTCCAAGCAGGTATGACTCAAAAATAAGTTCAGCCCATTTTGTACCCAATGTTAATTTTAGTTAGCTTTTTACCGATGAATTTGTGTTGGTTATAGGGTTAGGCTAGCCAGGGTAGCCTGGTTACCAAACCTATTATAGCTCCCAAGTACTACAGCCTCTCCACAAATTTCCGGAGAGGATGTAGGACTCGGGAGCTATAATAGGTTTGGTAACCAGGCTAAGCCAGGGTGCCAGATAAAGGGCTCCTTACATTTGCTGGCCTGAAAAAATCTCTGGACCAGTATGTGTTAGGAGTAGTATAAAGGATGGTAAACAGCTAGACAGTGTGTCACAAATTTGCCACACCTTCTGACAGAAAAAAAAAGTTTCAAACTAGCACCAGAGTTACTAGCCTCCGTAGAAGGCTTATAGAACTGGGGGTTTGGTGGTCTTTGGCTGTTTTCTGATTAGCACAGTTCTAATAAAAACGGGGGTAATTCAATCAGGCCGGCTATGTTGTCTATATGCAATCAGAAAATAGCACATAAAAGATCCTGAAGACCCCCAAAACCCCCAGTTATTGGCGTGCTGTGGAGGCTACAGAGTTTAACTTAGTGTTCACATTCAGATGCTTGCAAAGAAAGAAAGAAAATCTGAAAAAAATTAGTTATAGTAATATTTGTTGTTGTCTCTTACTATGCAGTTTTATTTCTGTTGCATAACCTTTGACATATGGTCTCCCTATGCAGTTTCTGTTGGGGTCTCACAGTTCAGTTTCCGTTGCAAAGTTGACGTTTTTGTCTGGCTACACATTTTTCTGTTACAAATTTGCTATTTGCCACTTACATGTAGTAGTAGCGACAGCATTAGAAGCAGGGAAAATTGTATCCTTTTCTGACAGGTTCTGTTGCAATTTTCTTTCGCCACAGTTGATTGGAGATACCTGTACAATTATTGTACTCAAAAAGTTGTTATTTTGTAGAGCTGTAATGACAAAATTGTACATGTAGCCTACTCTCCGAGCAGATGTTTTGGGTGTAACGGTTGAAAACTAAATGTGGGTTTAGGTACACATCACTAGTCACATCTGCTTGAAGGCAAGCTTAGCTTGAGTACTAGTACAAATGTAGTATTTTTGTAAGGCAGACAGGCTGTATTATGTATGTACATGAAGTGAAATAAACACTATGCTTAATGTTGACATAATGTTTGTATTGCATTCTCTTGATTTCAACCACCAGTTACCAGTATACATGTATGTTTACCTTTGCAAAGAAGGTTAACGTTTGTGTGTGTGTGTGTGTGTGTGTGTGTGCGTGCGTGCGTGCGTGCGTGTGTGTGTGTGTGTGTGTGTGTGTGTGTGTGTGTTTGTGTGTGTGTGACCGCACGCAGAAAAAGTTTTACATGCACTTAAGTTCTACGGCGTGTCTGCGTGCTCCCAACGGCGGGTTGTGACCGAGGCTTAAGTGGTGAGTGCCGCCTAAGTATGAAATCCTAGGGATTTGGGAGCACGCAGACACGTAAGAACTTAAGTGCATGTAAAACTTTTTCTGCGTGCGTTCTGCGGATTCACCACCCGTACGTGCGAGTACGAGCGACGCGTGTGCCCCGTACGGCCTGTACGCAAGAAGCACGTGTGAGTACGGCCTCCTTACGGTAAAGTTGCAATCACACAGAGATCGTACGTTGTAAGTACGTACAACTTACTTAACACTTGCGCAACGTACGATACACGCAACCGCTCACGGCCAGACGTGGCGTGCAGACCACACTCTTACACCTTGCGCAACCGTGCGAGTGACGTGCGTAGACGCGACTCCTTCCCCTCGTTCTCAGAAATACGTAGCAGACGTAGCCTCCCAATAAAACGTACGGACAAAAAGCACGCATTGCGGGTTGTGACCGACGCTTAAATGGGACTGAGATACTTAATTAAGATGATTGATTAAAAGGTGGTAAGATCACATCATAGATCAATCTAACTTAATTACTTAAGGCCAGAACAATTTAATTTGTTGCTTCTCGGATCGCCCTGTCCATTTTTTTATGATTTGCAAAAAAAAAAAAAGAATTTGTTCTAAATTAACTGTAAAATGCTCAATGAAAGACATATTTTGCCCAACGGTTGAAGAAAGTCCTTTTCTTTCTAGTTCTTAAAGTTTTTCAATGTAACAATGCAATTTTGTTTGATTAAAAGTCCAAAATTTATTGTTTTAATTATAAACCAGCCTGGTATGTTCACGTCATGGCTCACATTTCCGACTATCATGGGGTGCCTTGGCCTTTTTTTTCGCCCTGTCGCTTCACATTTTTTTTCTTAAAAAAGTCCGAGAAACAACAAATTGAATTGGTGTGGCCTGATTGAGAAAATGCAAATTTTGGTGATTCCTTATCAGGTGGTAAGACCACGCTGCTTCTCAGAGCAAGATGCGAGTCAGGGTGCTTGGACATGGAAGAAGTCGGTGGTTAAAATTCGCCTTTTAAGACGAGCTACGTCCAGTTAAGGTGAGTCGCATTTAACATTGTCCTTTAATTATGTTCTCTTGACTATATGGTAGCCTCCACCAGGCCTTTCTAAGGGAATACGGATCGTAGAATTTGGGAAAGGAGAGAGTAAAATTGGCCACGGGAGTCCGGCCGCGGGGAGGTAGTTTCTTTCCCTGCGCGGCCAGTCAAACCTACAAGGTGGCCAAACTCCCCAGGCAAATATTATCCTATATATAGCCAGCGTAGTTAGTCTGGTAGAGACTGGCTATATGGGCTGAACTTGTTGCAATGAAATGAAGTTAAAACGCAGAATGGCGTGAATTTATATTTGCGCCGGTGATGATTTCCTGTTTTTAAACCTGCACTTAGTAAAGCCGCCGTTCGGGGGCGTTTTTTTCATGTACGCTTTGAACTAACATGACTATACATTAGATACGCTCGTTTTATTATCTTCGCCAAGAGGGTTAATGTTTTCGAAGGCGTTCGTGTGTCTGTCTGTAAACACCATAACTTAATAAGGCTTACATGGATTGACTTGATATTTGGTAGGTGGTTAGGTCTTGATAAGACCTCGCAATAATTAGATTTTGCCCCCCCAGCGGCTTCTTATGGTACTGCAGCAGTCGGTTTTGATATCATGCTCTGTCCATGCTAGGGGCACGGAATTTGGAAGGTAGGAAGCTCTTGTGCTGAAAAAGAAGTGTCGCGAGTTTGGGCTCCCTAGTAGCTTTCCCTGGAACTGCAGGGGCGCTTGTTGAAAATATCCAAAGGAGTATAAGCCAAGAACTAATAGATGAATCATCGTAATTTTTGGTAGCTTTACTGATGCTTGACATAATTAGATGACAGTATGCATTCCAAATAAGAATCTAACTTGTATGATTAATGAGAAAATTCCTGAATTTCTCACTGTTTTATATGCATTCTGTATACCAACTTTTCCCCTAGTGTTCTGTCAATGAATTGTGCTTGAATGCTGTTGAACTGTAGCCTGGGTGCCATCCCCTGTAGTATTCGTCCGCTCCCTAATGTCGCTAGCTTACCACTTGTATACTATCTACATACACACACTCACATACTAGCATTCCTGTCCTTGGTGCTGAATACTATACACACACACACACACACACGCACACACGCACACACGCACACACGCACACACGCACACATGCACACACACACACACACACTAGCATACCTGTCCTTGGTGCTGAACGCTATCCACGCA